ACTTGAAAGAGCAAACAATCCTAACAAGAGACTGTTTACTTAGGGCCACAAATGCTCCTAGTATCCATCTTACTACCTGGGTCAGAGACTTTCAATAATATTTAGCATTTTGTCTGCTCACAAGACCCTTCAGCATAATTGATTGTTTTATTTGGGTTGGTTTATAACATAAAATCAAAGTTAAATAGATTATGTCAATTTTTTATAGATACAAATCTGAATCAGTCCCCATAACTCTAATTTTCCTAAATTCAATTCTTGTGCAGCTAAATGCTTCCTAAAAGCACCTTCAGGCTAAATGTGAACAAATCACACTGTTCAGATTTAAAATAGTGAATAATTTATCTCTCCATCTTTGTTTATTATATAAATCACAGAGAAACTTTTCTGAGTTTGAAATGTGACACTGTGCGTGGTACAAATACTTTTGCAAGGCTGAAAATATGCATTGCATAAAAAGTGCCTCCTCATGTCTTTCTGCTCAGCTGTGTCTTGTCTTCCTGATTTAATTTGCAAATTACTTTTAGAATGCATTTAATTCAAAGTGCTATAAACACACTAATTTCTTACACTAATCCCAAAAAGTTCAATCTCACTTTCTGCCAGGTGGTTGCATGTTTAGGAAGAAAGAAAACAGTTTGTAAAAAAAAAAAAAGAAGCCAGTGAAAAGTGACAAATGAGAATAGATGATGTCTGCACAAACCCATGAATATTTGATGCCATGTATCGATGACAGATTACCGAGAGCTCTTTGTTAGTCCGTACACATCAGTGATGATACTGCGTGCATCTGCATCAATCCGACGGACCCCTGTGGAACAGGAAAACTTACAGCTTCAATCCTAAATAGCAGGGAGCCCACACTCTGCCACAAGACGTAAAAAGAACAAACCGGAGCCTGAAGAGCAGAGCGGCTGCGCTTAAATGACAGATGGAATACAAATGGAGGTTTCACAGCTATCCGTGGCACCATCAAGCCTCTGTTTGTGTTCGATTTTCTGTCAAAGGGGGGTTTTACCAAAGTGCTATCTGACTGTTTCATTTATACCTAACAGCCTGAGACATGCTACTGGGGAGATGACTCACATGAATACAACTCACACATGATGCAATCATCCTGGCACACTCATATTAATTATGTTGGGGACAAATTGTCCTTATATTCACAGAGAGAAGACCTGGATACGTGCAGCACTACACATCTCACTCCCAATAATAGCCAGCACTGCAATCATCACCGCCACAGGGAACACGTGGGGAAGTCTATAAGATAACCGTTTGGTGGTGTGAATGGAGTCTCTGCTAAAGTGTGAATCCTTTCTATTCCTCTACATCTCTCATTTGCTCCATTTTTAATTTTTGCAAACACTGGTCTCCTTATTTCTCTCACCAAAGAAGTCCCTCTCAATATGCATGGCATGCATCTGACTTATAAAAGGGATCTTTCTGCATCAGCTTCACTATTTGTAAGGTTTGATCACTTTTCCTGAGCCCCTTTCCTGTTCAACATGTTGCAACAGGCCAACAGAACTAAGCAAAAAATATTTAATTATTCTTACAAAGGCTTAAAGAGCAAATATGGACTAAAACACCAGAAAAACTAAACATACTGAAAATATGAAACATAAATAAATTTAAATAAAGAAGAATTTCCTTATGTGTAAAGGGCCTGTTTCATCTGGACCAGTAAAACAGAAAAATTATACTACATATGGATAATAGTGTTGCATTTCTAGCAGGACAGTATTGAAGCATGTCAATCTCGATGACTTTTCAAAAGGAAAACAACCAGTAGATGGTTAATGGCAAAGTGGAAAAAGGATAGACTAAACAATTGTACTACAAAATTGTTAGTCCAGGAAAAGTGAGGAGCTATGCTTAAATGAATAAGAATAGGGAATAAAAACTGTTTTAATGGTAGAAACATTTTTTCCCCAAAATAATGAAACTTGATTATTAGGGAGTCAACAGCCAGACCACCAATAAACCTGCACCTTTGAGCATGAAGTTTATCATGTAAAAGAATGCCTTTAACATTTATGTATTCCCAACAAGAACACATTTTCTACTAATGTTCACAGAGCAGATGAAATTCACTCTCTACCAAATAAGTACAGTCAGCTGTGACTGTTGTTTTCTCTGCATGTATGTAGTGTGATTTTATATCAGTATTGTAACTTCCCCTCCGTTTGCCACATGCTGCTGTAGATAAACTGCAGAAGGACTTAAAGTTTGAGTGGCATGACACAATATGTTAGCATAATGTATTAAAAGCTAAATTACAATATTACAGTTCGACTCTTGGCAGTAAAACACTGAAAGAAGGCAGAGAAAACTGACACAACCACTGCAGTATTTGCTAACATTAAGCAGGCTATTCAGATGGCACACAGCTTTAAGTATTCCTGAAAATATAACAGTTTATCAGGTCTGGTTTGAACCAGATCTGATATAGTGTCTGGTTAAGACGGTATATCAAACTCAAATTTGAACTGCAGACTTTATAATCATTGCCTTTGATTAGGGAGGACATTTTGTTCTGCAATTACTTAAACTTTCGTCTGTGTTCTCAGATGTTGTGCCCTTGCCTTTTTCTGTCTTGACAAATTACATGTTTTATGATTTACAAATTTCTTTAAATATCCTGCGAGAAAATATATTTTTCCCATTTATCCATAACAACCGGAACCTTCAATATCTAGCAGCTATTTTTTGCAATTTATTGTCTATTAAAAGATCTCAGATTAATTTCATTCTTTGCTATGATGGGAGGGAAATTACCATAATAACTCAAAATAGGCTGGAAAGTGAAACGTCTCCCCTTTCAGAAATGGTTGGAATTTTTCAGATAGCGCAAAGTGTGGATGAATTACAGTACTGCAGATTTGGCTGTTTCCGATACATTCACACTAGAAGGGTTAAATTTCTGTCTGGCATAATGGTTGGAAAAAAATTTAGAAATATTGTGCCACCATGAGCGGTAATTTTTCAGCTCTTCTGTGAGTATCCCAAACTTTTAGAATTTCTTTCACTTCAGAAAGTTTGTAACAACAAAATGAGAAGTTCAAGTGGTGTGAATATGGTCTGCACTTGCATGTCTGGCCTTCAGTCCAACTCAGTGCATTAAAGAATGCACAGCCAGGAATAATCAAACCTTTACAGCGTGTTTGCTTAGAGAAATGTTCATCTTTTCTCTCTTTATTGAGGGCATCTCCGGTGATACTGGATTAATGGTTTTTCAGCGGCAGCGAGGTTTGTCAAGCTCCAAGGAAACAATCTATTTTCATAAATCTGAGGTTCTGAATAAGATGAGGAAATATTTCTACTTTAGAATGATGCACAAATGGGTGCCTGGAAACAAGATCCACTTCCTCTCCTCTAACAAACACTAATTACCGTCATAATGGTCATTTTCCCGACGTTATCAGATGCGGTGAGCTTTCTAACACACATCTGGCAACATTAAAAGATTGGTTTTCAAAGCTCCCAATTATGGTGTGACATATTTTTCTGACCTGTTAAAATGTCAAAAGTGAATGTGAATCTGGCATTTCTTAAGGTCATCTCCCTTCTCCATTGTTTACAAATGGCATCAGCATTTATTTCTTTTAGAAATAGCAGACAATTAGCAACGTGTTTTATTGAAAATTTAAGAGATAGACCAAGATGAATACATAATGGCTCATTGATCGAAAAAGTGAGCTACGTATTTGTATTCAGCTCCCATTCAAGTACAAACATGGGTGTCCACTTAAGCATACAGGCTTTGACTAGAGAGCAATAATCAGAGAATAATCCAAAAGGTCCATCGTAACTTTGAAGGAACAAAAAACAAAGTTACGATGTCTATTTAGACAAATTGGGTCTGAATAGACAGTGTTGAAGTAAAAAGCCTCAGTTACAGATTGACTCTACTCATGTGGAGAAGGCAGCAAACATCTGAAACAAGCTTCTCTGGTGAGATGATACTCAGATTAGGCTGTTTTAAAGGTGATGGGGATGGAGGTGTACCTTAACACAGAGTGACCTGAGAAGAACAAATATTTAAGGCAGCAAAGACTTGAAACTTGAAGAAGTTAACATGAAACCATTTAGAGCGTCAATGAAACAGTGTGTGGAAAATTAGAATTCAGACCCAAATCTGACTGACAACGGCAAAGCTGCAGATATAATCCAGCTTTGTTCTGATTGCAGCACAAGGTGGCTCTAATGAGTCTTCGCCCAGGAAGGCTGAATGAAAATGCCAACCACACTTTTCAAATTTCCATTTGCAAAAAGTTCTAAAACCCATGAATCATTGCCTTCTGTTGTCTACCCTACCACATAACCCCCACTAAATTACATTTAAATTTGCAGTTGTAATGTGGAAAAATGAGAACAAGTTTAAAATACATGAACAATTTTGCAAAAATCAACAGGTCAACATGCCTGCTCAGCTGACCAAGAAAGGCTTTGTGTCTGTGATTCCAGCAGAGTTCAGACAGGCAGCAGGGGGAATGCAGCCTGAATGAATGAATGAATGAATGCAAGAAATGAATGAACTGCCTCACAAATCAAACTATAATTTCCTAAAACCATAAACTGAACAACAATGAACGCTGAGTTTACCACGCAGCTGGCTCTACAGGAGGAACAATAGGTGTTCGAATGGGAAGAACAAACGATGCACCTGCTTTGGGTGTAACACTATCTGACACGTTGCCAGGATCACCATCCTCCTCAGCAGACGCAACATCAACCCGCGCAATGAACTTTTCCATGTTCAGCTCATTGTCTCCCCTTCTTTACATTTAGGAAACAACGAGGTTTTCTTTACCAAGCAAACATTTTTCGGCGACTCACTGTTCCTCCTGTTTGCTGCAGCGCACCAATCTGCCAGCGCACCCACCTCTCCCTGTTGTGCGACTTAATAAAGACGATTGCGCCAAAAACAGCGCAGTATGCCCCTTCAGTGCGCATTTAAGTCTCTGAACGGATAGTTTAAATTTCACATTGCTCACCTCTCGGAGCTTCCTGATCGCTGGCGTTTGGTGCTGGTGATGAGGATGCTGCTTTTTTTTTTCCTCCAAGAAAGAAGAGAAACTCCCACCCACTCAGGAACCGTCTGACAATTATCTCTACCGCGAAGGGAGCGTCTGTAAATAATCACTACCCGTTTAATTCTGGATTTCCATGACATAAACATAAACCTAATACAGATTAATTCTAAGAAATTAGGAGTATATTTTCAATAGTTGTATCAGCGTGTGTGTCAGTTCAAAAAATGAATCTGGAAGTAAGCAAAGGATAATTCAGCCCAAATGTTCAGAAACATAAAATGCTTAAACACAGAAAAAAAAAAAAAAAAAAAAAAAAAAAAAAAAAAAAAACATGCTGTGCTGTGTATTGGCTAACACAAAGGCATCTTAGATGTTGGTTATTGAAATGAACAATAAAAAGAAGCTAATTATCATAATGATTAATTATTTATACAAATGCGTTTGGTGAGTCACCAAAAATAAATAAATGTTTTTTTGTCTTTTTTAAAAATGTTTTATTGACGTTGGAATATTTTCTGTTAGAGTCTTCACCTGTGACAAAGGTTCACCCTCCAGCTGAACATCGACCTGAAACTGAATCCAGTCAGACCTACAAAGAAAAGATGAAATCTTAGTTTTCCCAGTCAAAGTCCAGACCTACATCTAACTGAAAAGTCTGGCAAAACTGCTGTGAATTCTCCAACTTGATTGAGCTTGAGCCACTTTTCAAAGTAGAAAGGACAAAAGTGTAAGTTTCTTGATGGGTTAAACATGCATGTGTTTGTGTTTGGACATCATTTCAAATCCAAATGAGATACATTTTAGTTTGTGGTTGTAAAACAGATTACAGAAGTTAAAAGACTATGAACACTTTGCAATAAATGTTCTACAAGTTTTACAAGTGGACAGGAACAAATCATGACAGTCCCTGAACTCATCATTTTAAGCTGGGCCCATTAGTGTGGTCATACCTTTCTCAGCCAGTAAACTGAGAGGCAACTGTGAATCAATATATTGTTGATCTAAGAGATCTTCTTAATCCTGTGATGAAGCATTTTTTATCCGTATTGATCCAGTTAGTTAACTGGGTGCATCCCATTGGGATGGAAATGGGTGAGATCTCAGGTCTTAACCACTACAGCTAACTCCATGAGGGAATCTCTCTTTTGGAAAATATAGCTCTCATCTCAAGAGCACAGAGTAAAATGCTTGTGGGATGAGTGCAAACAATCCCTGAATGAGTCAGTTTTTGTTTTATTTTGTTTAATTGTATTTGTCACTGCTCTGCAGGTGCTGTCCTATTGGGTGGACATAATCTGCAAATGAACTGACTCATCAATAAAGCAGCGATAATAAAGATTACCTTGCAACATGCAATGATAAGAGCATTATGGATTTTATTGGGTTGCATCCCAAAATACCTTTAATACATAAACCATTCCTGGCATAGAATTATTAACATTTTATATCCCAATAGTCACCATCTCTGCTGTAAACCTTTTCTGAATGCAGAGGATGGTGGAGTAGATATGCACAGTTGGACAACACTGATGAAGCATGGCAGGTGGGTCAGAACAGTGAGATTAGAAAATCACACACAGAGTAAAGGTCTTGACTGAACAAGAGCCAAAATATGTGAACATATCTGAATTGCCACAATAATAACTCTGCCCTCCCTAATATTTTGAAATTTGCTCAGTTATTTGAAAACTGTAGCAGATTAGTGATTAATACATCAATAAAATCCAAGTTTGTGCAAATAACATTTAATTTATTTAGAATATAGTTTGTAAAAAGCAGGAAGTAGAGGCACTTCATGTCTTAATCACTTATTTGTGAAGCACTAATGTGTGCTGAAATATTTCTCCAGACTCACAGAAAGCTGGTGTGTAAACTTGTTTCTTATGCTAGAAAGCACTCCGGTATCCAAGGTGATATCATCTTGTTTTGATGGTGATGCTATGTTCCATTTGAAGGGCTCCTTTAAACTGACAGCTCATGTGAAGAGGCTGCATAACTAAGGCTGGCTTGCCACCTACTGGAGTGTTCTTGTATCCAGACTTTTCAGGTGTAATCCTAGCATCCACCATGTCACACTGTTATCTCTGTATCCGTTAAATTATTGCTTTCCCATTGTAGATATTTTAAAACTCTTCAAATGTCTTCATAACCTTTCATGAGCTACACAAACATTCAGTAGCTTAGTTGTGAAGTGGAAACATGATTTTCGAAACCTTGAACTTGTAGTGTACATTAATATTTAGCCCCTCCACCTCTATACTCCGACTCTAAATAAAATGCTTAATTGGAAGGCTTAAATGTTGGATTACGAGTCCATTACTCTACTCATTGATCCCCAGTCAACCCCAAAGTGAAAAACAGAGCAAATAATTACTTCCAGATGTCACCTAATTATAATAATATATAACGGTTAGAGTTGGGTACATGCAAGTTGAATGTGAAACAAGTGAAAAACTAAAACAATTATATTCTAATAATATTAATGTAATAGTTAGATAATGTTATAATCAATATTCTTATTAATAATAATCATGATAATATTGATTATCATTATTATTTGTATTTTTATAATAGTATCATTCTTAGGAGTATTAGTATTAGTTGTAGTGGTCAACGACTTAATACATATATTTTTTTTTCTAAATTATTACATTTAATTTATTTAATCTTTTAACTTTGGGATCCAGATTTCTTTGTGGGTCTGAAAACACCTAATTAGAGGTTTAAATTATTTTCAAAGAATTTGAGCATACGAGCATATTTATTTTTAATAAGAAGATTAATATAGCATGAAACTTGTTCGGATTGTTTGTATTGTAATCAAACCACTATCAAAAAGTCTTAAATATGCCTTGTGCACTTCACGCAGAATCTGGATTTAAATTTTTAGTCAGAATTTGGTCTGTCAGAAACAGGAAATGTTGGTAATCTTTCATTTAGTTCCTCTTAAAAGCAAAAAGCAAGTTCATAAAGAAAAGATCAGGATAACAAACGTACCCAAACCAGCAGGGGGCGGTAGACAAACAAGCAAACACCTCAGTGATGACGGTCCTTAACGTGGCTGAATAAAGACGTCTCTTCTTGTCTGCGCTTGAACGAGGCAGCAGGGCACCGAGCCGAGGCTCCGTGGTGCTGAAAGGACAGCTCCACCGCTTTCTGACAGCTGCAGGTAGGCTCATTTGTCGCCATGGAGATAAATTAGACAAAGTAAAGTGATCGTCGTCATCACCGGCAACATTACGCATCATTCTGCAGGGAATTAGAAAATATAGATGAGGCGTAAATGTGCGTTTGGCACGACATTCTATCACGCTGTTTAGGTATAAGACAGATTTAGGTTTAAAGTGTGATAATTTTAGTCTGAAGGTTTTTATATCCAAAGTTTGCTTCTGCTGTAGGTCAGCAGACCTCTGAAACAAGGATGAGATATTCTTAGTATTCTCAGTGGCACCTAAGAGTCCCTAGATCCTCATTTGCTCAGAAATTAGTTCCTGTCGTCCTCAGAGTTGTGTTTTCCTCACTCAATCTTTGTAAGAAAAAAACCCCAAACTGTGTCATTTACACGTAAACTCTGTAATTTCAACTCAAGCATTTTTAACTCAAATAAATTATTGTCTGGAAAATGAAACAAGATCTTGTTTCTTTACTAAAATATGCATTTTTGCACTGATAAAATATTCAGCCCTACGTATGAGTGAATTTTTATAACCACAGTTCAGTGCACATTCAGCTGCAAGTCTTTAGGAGTTTGACTGTACCGTCTGCAGACGTTAATATGTTCTCCAGTTCTTCTTTTCCAAATGGGTTTAGTACGGTTAGATGAAAGTGGCTTTGAACAGCAATTCTCATGTCTTGACACAGATTCTTAAGTGAATGGAGGTGTGGACTTTGACTGGACCATTGCTAAAGGTTTTCTTTCAGGCTTGCTCTGCATTTAGCTCCATCAGTCTACCAGTTTTGATGTAGAGTCTGTGTTTCATGGCATTTTTGCATTAAAGCTAATAAGTACAATTTTGGTTTCGTCTCTGCAGAGTGTCTTTCTCTACTTGAGACAAACTTTTTATGACTTTCTTTGTTATGTGAGATGACAAAGCTTGATAAACTAACCCTACTTTAATTTCACAATAACTTGACCCTTGACCTGTTTGGCAATTGGCAGCACTTGATTATATTTAGAGGTTTAAGGAGCAACTAAGAACAATTTGCGTCACAATTTTCTGAGTTTTTTAAAAGGTGTATATTTTTCTTCCAGTTGAGTTACTCACTCAGTTGTTCTGTTATTATCTAAATATATTATTCCGATTTAGTTTGTCTATTGTTTCCTTTGCTCTCACACAGATATGTTCACCCGGATGTTAAAGCTGAGACTGCTTAATGCCGTAGCGCCTGCGTATTTCTTTGCAGCTACAACAGTCACATTTATTTTACACTTTTGCCTCTTCATCCCGACAATCTTCCCCAACCCGGACACATCGCTGAAGAGCTCCACAGTCCTTCACACAACTGTTTTCCTTTTCCTGATGTTTAATGCTTTGGGGAATTACATAATGACAATCAAATATCCGGCCGAGAGTAACAACGAGATTGCGATTCCTGTGTGTTCACCAAGTTGCTCTGACAAAGTGGATTCCCACTACTTACTTAATGGCCGTCATTTCTGCAAACTGTGCAGGAAGGTCATTTTCAGGAGGGATCACCACTGTTTTTTCACTGGAAACTGCATTGGCAACAAGAACATGCGTTACTTCATCATGTTCTGCATCTACACATCATGCGTATGCATGTACTCCTTGGTTCTTGGCGTGGCCTTCCTGACAGTTGAGTACTCCATCTCCTTTGAGAACCCATTGACCTTCCTGACCCTCCTCCCTTTCTCCACCGCCTACTTCTTCATGGGTGAGTTTACTAGTTTAAAGCTATGATTAACCACTTTTATTGTTTTTTCATTCCTAATTCATGTAATCCTTTCTCTCACAGGCACAATCTCTGGCCTGCAGCTGTTCCTGGTGCTGATGCTCTATGTGTGGCTGGGCATTGGCTTGGTGTGTGCAGGCTTCTGCTGCCAGCAGGTGCTGCTGGTGGCCCGGGGGCAGACCTGGTGTCAGATGCAGAGAGGGGATCTGGTGGATAACCGCAGCCCCTGGAGAGCAAATCTCAAGGATGTTTTTGGCGCCCGCTGGATCCTTGGTCTTATTCTGCCTGTGCAAACAGTGGAGATGTACTCTGAAGACACAGATGGACTTAAGCAAGACTGACAGTTGTCCATTTGTCTCAGTGAGAGCCACTCTCTTCCAAGTGGTTCAACCAAGTGGTTCATTTAGCAAAAAATAGTTTTTCGGCATTTACTGTAGGTGTAAATTAATTTTTAATCTGTATGGATGCTTTACGATGTTTGAAATTTACAATAAGATAGCTGACAGTTTCATCCTCTTACAGGTAGGAACCATATAAGCAATGTGAAATAAGTGCTGAGTATAAATGTTTATTCTTAAAAAGGCATTTCTAAAGGCAATATTAGGAAAAATAAGTTGTACCTTCCAACAAATTGCAACCGATCATCGGTTTTCATCCAATCAGTAGTCTGACTTTACAGCATCCTCCCAACATATCCATAGCCTTAGTAAAGATGTGTAAAAAGGCCTTAAATTAAATACAGCTTTTATTGCAATAGCATAATCCTATTTTGAATATTTAAGAAAAATGCAACCTGTCCTCTCAACCATTCCATAAGATTAATTTTGTGTCCAGGTAGTGATTATGCATCTTTTCCTGTGAACCCATTCACCTTAACAGGGTTGCCAGGGTCTTTGGAAGTGATACAGGCCTGCAGCACCATAGACACTTAATCAGAGGAACAGATAAGAGGAACAGACGCTTGTCCACGTACTTTGTTTCAAACCCATGCTTGTTACAAAAGACTCCATCTTAAGGACATGGATCCTTTAAACTCTCTGTAATCTTTAACGAAGCGGAGGTATAGATATTTGTAAATGTAAAGACAGAGAAAGTAAATACCTAGATCACATCCCAAATTTCCAGGTTAAACTTTTCAAGTGTATTTGTGTTGTTGAGTTTTCAAGTAGCCACTTTGTGACCTAAGATAAGCACATGTCTGCCTGACATGAATGGCATATTTTTTGTGTCTTTTCTATTCTGAATAGATGAGAGAAGTGACAGCACATAAACATTTTTCCCAAAAAGAGGAAAAGTGGCACATCTGTAATTTTATTAATTTTAGGTACATGATCTCCCTTCAAATAATCATTTTACTAAATTTTTAATGTGCTGTGACTCAGGGCCTCATTTTTACACATTTCTTTTTGGCATTAAAATAAGCAATGTGGGTGCTGTGTTTTACAGCAAGCAAGTTTCCAAGCAATATTTATATGTTTGCCTTTAAAGCTTTATGCTATATAATCACCAGTACCATGCAGTGCTCTGAGATTATCTTTCCTAACCCTAATTTGATTCTACAGTTTGACGTTCAGGAAACCAGGGGCAGTTTTCACTGTTAAATTAAGGGCTAACAGATGAAGAAAGAATTGGCAGCATAAACAGCCAGACTTCACAGGACTGCTTGACTTGAGCCTGGGGACATTTTCTACTCACACTAATGTTTTTCTGAATGAAAATTGTTGACGGAAATGGGGATTATAATATCCAGGGTATTACTCACAATGTGCCATGCTTATAGGCGAAGATTTGATATCTTCTTCCTCTGCTATAATGACAGAATAAGCAGCATTAGAACAGGATTTTATTCCCCCTTTCTGATGCATCTGCAGCTGCTTCCTCAAAAGTTGTGGACGTTTTGGTATTCAAGCATACTTTTGGAGACAATGTTGCCTATTTGTGTATTGCAATAAAAGTTTAACCCATTTAAAACCACAACAAGCGGCTACTTTTTTCACTTTTACTAATGACACATCCTTAGAAAAATAACAAGAGGAAATTATCTCAGTTTAAGACTTGACAAAGACAAGAATGCACAAGTCACAAAACCAAACAGCAGCAGAGTAAAAACAAGAAAATCCCATCCTCTTAACTTTAAATATGATTAATATCTTACCAAAAACCAATGATTAATTAAAGATTTAAACAGAATTACAACTAAGGATTTTAAAGACTGTAAATTTCAAATATGAAGGTTTTTACAATATAAAGCAACTCAGAAAGTAACGTGTCAGTAGATCATCCAAATTGGCAAAAAAAAATAAATCTTTGGAGTCCTCTGAGTGCATTCAACTTCCCTCCACATGATAAAAAGATTTACAAAACTACGATAAAAATCAAGCACAGAAATATGAAGCACAAACATGAATAGACTTAAAAAGGCACAGGCATTAAGATATATATTTAGATTCACATTATTTCTTCGATACAGAATGCTTGACTGAATAAATCTGGGACCAAAGTGCAAGTCTAAAAGCTGTCATGTTTTTGCCAGAAAACCTTTTATACCAACATTTATAAAGCAAACTTTGACAAAAAGAATAGAGATGGCAACAAAAGATCTAGAATCTAAACCATCATGTGGCTACAGCACTCTCATTGCTACATTTCTGTTCCATATCAACAGAGCTCTGAAAAAAAAAAAGATGGAGTAAATTTCACCATGAAACTGGCAAATATCTCCATGTCACTTCTTAAGATTATTCACACCACTTTGTTAAAATTTTTGGTCACAGTTATGAGGAATAAATAATACCAAAAGTAAATATTATATTTAAAACGTGAGAAAAAAAACAAAACATTTTACCAACATCCAGTGATGTTTCTTGATAAATAAACCACAATAGGAAAAGAACCAAAATAGTGGCAGAAATAACCTGATTTAGTTATCTAATGCCTAATAACGATGAAACTTGATGAACCATTTTAAGTGTCAGAAAAATAAATGCAGTAACTAATTAAAATTATTAGTGACTGAATAGTTTTGTAACAAAGGTGATCAGCGTCACCATTTTCAAACTTACAAAGGTTTAAGGTTAAAGAAACTTTAATTTTGGTTTTCATTGAGCTGTTGAGGAAAAATTTCTTGGTAATTAATCATCATCAGAATCCATCACTATACTCAACCTCCAATATTTAAAGATAAAATTACTATGTGTTTAAAGAAACAAAATTCCAGAAATTTTTAAAGTTGGAAAATTTCCCAGGGAGAAAATGAAAAGAAACGAGAAATTTTAAATATTTCAAGTTGGTGCTGCTCATGGATTCCAGATGTAGCTTGGAAAATAAAATAAAAAAAACAGATTTCATACAAGTAGATCTACACATATCAAAAGCTATTCCAGTCACATACTGACTTATTAAAGGGTAAAACGACCACAGCCTCTACATGCATTTTGCATTCCTCCATCACATGCAGATGATTTCTACAACCTGGACGGCTGACATTTCTCATTGAAGATTCTGAGGCGGCCCAAGAAGAGGATAGTGTGACTAAATGCGGCTTGAAAAATCCAAGCAAGGAGATTTTTACTGTTCATGCTTTCAATTAGTAAAAGGAATCCATGCTCAATAATATTTATTATTTTTGGAGTATGGTGTTATTTCACCTTGTTTAAAGGGAGGGGTAGGCTTTTAAAAATGTGTTTGATGTTTAACGAAATAATTGTTCCATGAAAGCAATTAAAACCTAATGAGATATTTTGCTTTAAAAGTTAAAGCTTTGCAATTGTAAAATTTATTGGATGTTATCCGTTAATGGTAAAACCAAATATTTACGCTAGTATTTGAATATGATGTGATGAAAAACTATCATTTTTTAAAAATTAGGTAATCGCTTAAATTCACGTGAAAAGTTTCTGAGAATTTTCCACCGCTTTATAATCTTGTCATATTTTAAGTCTGCCACTCAAATGTGGTTTTTATGTACCTTTTTTATTTTTAATCACAGTATATTTAAAGTGCACAGCTTGAAAAACAATATTACAAGTTATTCAAATTGTAGTCATTTGAATAACTAAAATATATGACTAACTGGAGTCATATTGACTCCATTTGAGGCTTTCCTACTTAAGATATTTTTTGGACAAAGTATCTATCGCTGTCAAGTAAAACAGACAGATACAGCTGTGTACCTCAAGTTATTGCTGTGCAAGTTAAGCAGGACACAATCAATATTAACGTAGCCCATGTAATACTGATAACATGTTGCATGTTATTTTCCCGCAGTTGAAGTTACTGAGGCTTCTACGATGTACAAGGCATTTTACTGACTTGCTGTTATGGGGACAAAAAGAAAACATCCCTGAAAATGTCTGCACTGACTCAGAAACCTTGATGAAAAACATTAGTGACCTGTGTGTTACTGCATCCACCAATGCAATACAATACTCTGCAGATTGCTTCAGATAGGGTGAAGAAGTGAAAAGCTGCAATCTGATCTAGATAAGTCACAATCTGTTTGCCTGTCCTCGTTTCAAAACGAAGCAGAAAATGTACACATTTATCAAGAACCAATCACATTTAACTGGTTTCAGCACTTGATGTGCTGTCTTTTTAGCTTGTTGTGACCCAGTTCACCCAGCTCTTTTCTCCCAGTGTAATTCAATTGCTATGACTATTCGCACTTTAACACATAAGGCATTTGCTCATGCATTTAACAAGAATTCAAAGGTTATAGTAAAAACAAAAAGCATGTTGACCTGTTTGTTAGAGGTGTATGACAGACGTCAGACATCCGTCTGGCTAATCTGCTATAAGGCATGCGTTTTTTTAGGCATTTGACACAGACAGCCAGAAAGCCCCGCTGCAAGTACCACTTTCACCCATTTCGCATCAGAGGCAGATATTTTGTTAAAGGCAAGGGTTTGAAACATAAGCATGCTTCCAAACACCCGTTGATTACAGAGGATGTGCTTCATATTCATGTCAAACCAGCAGTGCTAAATGTTTCAGGATTCCTGGTTTCTACATTGTGCTCTGCGCAAATGTTCATTTCCCCTCAACTTTCTAACATTTTGTCGTAAGTGGCAAATAACTGTGGATGGCAAGAACAACAATAGACAATTCTGAGATATGTGTGGTGTGCATATGAATTCAAACCTTTTAGCTTTACATCCATAAGTAAAATCTAGTGGCAGGTCAGGATTAAAAGGGATAAAATAAGACTGCTAATGTATATTTATCGTTGCAATTAATCATAAGTTAGTGAACAAAGGCGCAGTGGGCAGAGCAACATCAGGATGTGGCGATGTTCAGTTCTAAATGCAAATGGGAATCTGTGCAAAGATCTTACACCTAATGTTCACAGGTGTTTCCCTAATTTAACAGAGCCTGAGCTGCTTTCAAAGAGGAATAGGAAAACATTTTAGGCAAACATTCCCCAAAGCTGTAATTGCAGCAAAAGCTGGTTCAAAGATTTACTCTTAGAGGTTAGGGCCACAAATATTAACTGCCCTTTTGAAAAAAAAGAGAAATCTTTTGATAAATATTTACAGCAGGACATTTGTTGTAATTCTTAAAGAGCAATCATTTCATTCCTAATCTACTATTAGGTTTTGATATTAAAAAAAAAAAAACTTTCAAAAAGGTGATGGCTACATTTTTGTATACTTGATGTTGTGATATTTGCACAACATAAGGAAAATAGACCTAAATAAAATTGACTATCATTCTGTTGTGGAAATTAAATTCAATTATCGAATGAAAACAGCTAAAACCTTTATTGTTGTTATATCTATTTTTAAAACAACTGTTTCTTTTTAACTTTTAGTGTTTGAAATTATAAAGTGTTGAGAGCCGTTGCAGAAGAACCAGTCGGGGCTCCGGAATCACAGGCTGCAGACTCCTGGTCTAGAAGATAAAATTCCAATAACAAGTTGTTTGCTGTTGTAAAGTGACAAAATGTATTAAAAGAACTTCTGCAAGGCACTGTCCACCTACAGCCGCCTGATAAAATGGTGAAAGCTGAGCTGTGTTTGCCATAACCGTGTGACACATTCAGCATCTGATGACCTCTTCATTAATCCTTTTGAAACCAGATTCAGAACTGCTGATTATGTCCACAAACGCGTTATGCTAGGATACTCTGAACTTTAACCCCGAACTGCTGCTTTTCAGTGTCTTGCAAAGACACCTGGAGTTTAGTCCAGAGCTGTGGATCCCCGCTGCTCAGCGCTTCGAGCAGCAGAGCTGTTTGCTCCTGCAGCAGGTGCAGCTGGCCCTGCGTGCGCTTGTTTTCTTTGATCAGTTGCTTTGTGCGCAGCGTAATCCCTAGCAGGCCAGACTTGTTGAGGATGTTGTAGGTATTGCTGAAACGCTTCAGTTTGGTGCTGTGCATGGAGATGGGATCCTGATATTTCTCTGCAGGCATGCTGCCGTCATCAGATATGCTCCTCAGCTCCTCATATGTGAAGTTGGCAAATGAGCTGGTTTCTGTTGCTGCGGTCAGAGATTTGTCAGAATTTTGCTCCTGAATCTCAGTGTGAGATTTGTTGCTCGGTTCTTCAAAGTCGCAGACAGCTTGAGCTTGCATTTGCAGATCTGACAGTGGGCTGGAGGAGATGTCAGGCCTCAGAGGGTCATGGCGTCTCCTCTGTCGCTGCTCATATCCTGCTGTTCCGCTTGCAATCAGCCTTGATGTTTCCACTCTCTTAGAGGGCGAATCCACTGGGTAGGGGGCAATTCTTGGGTATGATTTGAGGATGGGAGTGTAGCTTTTTGATTGTTGCATGCCGTCAGAGCCAGCTTTCGGAGAGCAGTTTGTGCCATTCGATACCAATGGCTGAAGAAGAACCACCTGAGATTGGGGCATCACTTCCATTGATGAAGGAAAGCCCCACTGTTTCTCTGGTGGAGCCATTGGTGATGGCTGGAGACAGAAAATAAAAATCATTTTAAATTTACTTTGTAACACCAGTTTAGTAGGTAATAAACATAAAAAAACCTGTTCAACCACTCAGAAACGATCAACAATACAAAAAAGTCCTATTACTTAACTTGGTTGTCATAATGATACAACAAAAATCACAATTTACTACATTCTGATGTTTGCAATAATTTGTTTTTCATTTTGCTTTTCACTAATCAGCAAACACAGTATACCTAAATGCTGACATCACCACTCTTGCTGCTGCTGCACAGATTAAATGGCTGCTCCTCAAGGTTCCCTAATGGTATTATAAAATGGAGGAGAGAAGTGGGGGAAAGCTTGATCTAACCAGATGTAAAACCATACGAAAACGCTGGCAATTTGAACTATCAACACAAATTCCTGTCTGATCAATTGGCCGATTAGCATAGTATGAAACATTATATTTGTGGCAGATCCTGAATTTGATCCCCAGCAGAGGATCATTTGTTCATAGTTTCTGCCAAATAAGCTGATTTAATAAGCCTGATCTTAGAGTTTACAGTTAGGAGACAACAGGAGCGACAGACTCCAGGACAGCTGTGCATGTTTTCATGTAGCTGCAGCATGCTGGCAGGTCCACCATCTGAACAGTACAAGATTAAGCTGTATTTTACACAATTTGTTGTGTGTCAGAAATATATGGCACTTAAAAAGAGGATTTAAATTCACTTTGATTTCCCTCCAATGACTTTCAGATTATGCTGAAGTCAAATGACATTTATTTACCAGTCAGACCATGGTACAAAATCAGAGGTGAATGAGAAGAGGACTAAAACTGGTTAAAAGAATCTCTTTACAAGAAGTGTTTAGATTTTTTGTAAAAAAAAAAAAAAAGAGACATGGGGAAGCAGCTCCTCCACTAGCTCTATGGTTTCAATGCTTAATCAGTAAATGCAAACCTTGCTGCAAAACATAATATGATTGGCAGGATAAAGATTCAAAATTGCCAGAAAAAATTGTTGCAATTCTTTTGCTTTTTACAAAAAACAGCAAATTCTATAAAATTTGACTGTTGTGCAACTGAAATTTTGGACAAAGGCAAGATACATGATTCAAACAAAACTTCATAAAGATTACAACTCTATAATCTATTTATGAATTTCAGAATTTATAAAAAATAAGATGTGACACTTACAAAGCTGTTAGTTTAGCAGTTACAAACAGTGAATATGGTGCATGTTGTTCTATTTTACCTGCTTTAGGACAAAGTTGTTCATAATGATCATTGGGGACAGTCCAGGATATGAACCTCCTACCAAGGCCACCGGCTGACCAGCTGGATCCTGCCCGATTATTGACCCATTCCTTCCAGTATCTTCCGAGTCTGTGATCTCCACTGCACTGAAGTACTCTGAGCTGGCATCTGACAATGAGAAGGCTGGCATATGGGTCTGATCATGTTCTAAAGTCACAGGTTTGTGTATAACCTGATCATTAAAACTGTAAACAACTCAGACACACATTACGTATCTCTTCACCATGAAGAACAGGACAGAACAAATCTAGTGATGGAGGCTGAATCAAATTCAGGTCAGCCTTGATCATATAAATAAAGGTCATCGCCTGCAGAGCTCAGTGCACATTCTGACTGTGAGCTAGATCTCCACATTTGATTTGGGTTGACTAATTTTATCTCAAACAAATGTAGTTTCTAATAATAGTACACACAAGTCAATAAAATGGAATACAGGCTTTAATAACAAAAGTAGGTATTCTGAATTAAAGTATCTAATTCTTAAAAATATTTCTTATATCTTACAAGAGGATTTTTGCTCTTGTGTAAACTAAAATAAAAATAATAAAAAATGCTAAATGAAAATACAGACTCACAAACTGGAACAGTTTATTACAAATTTTTAAATACCCTTTGTTACCGAGACTGACATATAGTTTGTGAAAACTCAGCAACAAGTCATTTGATAATATTTGCTCATGATTATTTACTGCTAAATTTGTTGAGTATTTACAAAGCAGGAATCTAAAAGAAACACAGTAGGAAATTAAGTGTATATATACCTAAAAAGCAATGCAGCACTGAATCATTTGAAATCCAAGTGATATTTCACAGGTGTTGCAAATTTCTTCTGGATACTTCAATGTGGACAGAGTCAATAACATCAGATCATGTAATGCAGACAAACCTGAGAAGCCTGAATCTCTTTCCAGGTCTTGTTTGGACATTCTCATCTGCGCTGTCATTGTAAATGGTGGCAGTCTCTGTGTGTTTAGTTTGTTAAAACTGCTCATTTTGGAATCCACTGAGGAAAAAAACACAATGGGAAGTTAAATAGTACCAACATCCCCCCCCCAATCAGGAAAGGTGTTGCAAGTTAAAGTATCACAGTCACAAATGTTATTCTTTGCAAAATTATTCATAAGTATCACTAAATTAAATCATAAAAATTAATTAATTAATTAATTACATATTTCAAATTACAAATTTAGTAAATAATGAAATTAAGACATGGGGCTCATTTTAACATGTAATTCATCATTTTGATGCTTCTTTGTAACAGTACCCTTAAACATATTAAAATGCACATTGCAGCTCATTAGAGAAGCATTAATAGCATCAAGGTCCTCTACAGATTAATTGTCTTGAAAAATTCAGTAATAGGTCCAGCCACTGAACAATAAAATACAATGGAATATGTATGAATGCTATTTCAACAACAAATATTAGAGCCACAATTATTAAAATATATATTTAACATATTATTTTCCATTGGCTTGTCATTTTTGAATAGTGACATTTCATACAAAAATAGTGGTATCTAATAAAAATTAAAAACTGATTTCAACTGAAATTAAATCCATATAAGCTGTTTAAATTTTAGCTGTTAATTAATAAACTAATTTCACTGACTTTTCTCACGTACATTGTGTGACGGTGCATAATACTGCTTGGTTCCTAGAGATGAGTAGGTATCACCACAAGGGGTCGCCTATCCTCTTTTATTTGGTGATACCTACTCATCTCTAAGGAGCCAAGCAAGCAAATTGATATCACGTCAATAGGTCTGGTCGATTTCTGAGATTAGTTTACTTCAATCGCTTCAGACATAAGTGCATTGACCTCAGATGAAAAGCATCTTCCTTATGATTTACAGAATTTGTTATCCTCTTTTTTTCATTTTTGAAGTGCAGGTTTCTGGGCTTGTTTTTCACTTATTTGATATTCTTATCTCATTCCTCTAATCACCTACCCATCAAGCTGTCCACAAATTATACGTACGAATGACATTCCAATGTATTATTTACCAAGCGTCAATGTATCTTATCTTGCCTAACGCTTTTTATTAAAATATGACATTATGGTGTATTGCTTTGAACATATATTTGTGAGGTAAATCCCCTTTACTATCCAGGACTTGATTAGGTGAAACATAACAAATTTGGCCCCGTTACTGAATTCAGCGTTCGGTTCAATGACCTGCCATGCTCCCGCAGCCTGTACTGTTGAAGTAGAATGAGTTATAGTTTCACTTCTTCACAATGAAGCATGAGGAAACTAAACAAGTAATTTTTAGTGTGCATAAAACGCGTAGCTTGTCAAATACCGTTGTTTAGACGAGCAACGTACAATTTTTTAAATCAACCGCTACGAGCTTTACAATGGTTAAGTTTATCTTAATGCAACAACAGTTCAACAGAAGCCAAAAAACAAAAAACAAAAACAAAAAAAACATTAGCTGCTGTTTGTGTGCACTGAGCAGGGACTACACGTCTCCCTGTTTATAGTGTGCTTTCCTTCGCTGTTAGCACAAATAGCTAGGTGATGCTAACTGGGTTGAATTTAAGCTAACTACGACGTCTTCCCGAAAAGAACAACTACCTACTCCACTAATAGCATTTTAAGAAAAACTTACCAATAATTCGTTTTCTTTAAAACTGATATTTGATGATAGTGACATCCAAGTTGCTTCTTCAGTTGCTGCTCGACACTGCCGAAGCTAACATTCGTTACTCCTCGCTATCTGTTCTGGTTTTGACCGTTATCACGTCTTACAGGCAAATATATTCAAACGTTTACTTTAACATTAACATTTGGTAAGTGATATAGGTGAGTAAGACTTTGTCTTGAAAGGTAAACTTATAATTGTATTCTCAGGCGGGCTTAAGTAAGAATTGTACGATCGGTTCCCCCTGCAAGACATAACGGAGGGCTTAAACATCCCATGGTAACATGACAGGTTTCTGCAGTTGTCAAGGAAACTACTCAACAGTTTTTTTTGTTTTTTTTTGTTATTCTAGAAGGATAGCTATCGGGGAACAATCGCTAGCAATAAATATAATGTAAGTCAGTAGAAAAAAAAATATTATGGCTCACAGAAAGTGACACCCAAAATTCAGTCTCACAAAATAATTAACTATTACATAGCTCAAAGTTTAAAGAATATGGAAGACTAATGACTTAATATTTGTTCAGAAGACAGTTGTTTACGTCCTCCACAAGGAGGACACAAGCAACTAACGACCTTTGCCATTCAAAAGTTTTTTATCCAAAGGTATTCATAAAACGTTGAGTGGAAGGAAAATGTGAAAAATCTTGAACTTTATCAGCCTATTCAAATTTGTAAGCTGTGCCTTGAAAATAGATGTTGTTGAAAATTGCATAAGTAAGTATATATATCAGCAAATGAACACAACTCACACAAGCTATTGTCTGACAGTAATAAGAATTTTATTACAAAATAAATATTTAAATGAAATAAAAATAATGGAACGGGTGAAATATTTCTGCATTCTCATAGATTTTCTTTGATATATGAAAAAGAAAAAAGTCTCACATAATTAACTTGACTGATCAATTCCAATAAGATTCTGCTTCTGAGAACAGATTCAGGAAGTCACCTGTGGAGCAAGACTTAGTGAGTGTTGTCTTACCAGAGGGGAAAAATGCATAAAGGAGACACTTTTCAACCTTGTGATTTTGATAAAGGTGCATCAGTACCACATGACAATGAATGTGATCCAGAAAAAACTATTTAAAAAAGAATGCACTTTTCTGGTTGACCAATTCTTCCAGGCCTCATCCGGAGTTTGGGTCCCGTATTTAATTTGATCACATGTGGTGGATTTGCTTTTCCAGTGTCTTTTTTAGCATGCCTCTTAAAAAAAGAAATAATAAATGGAGGTTGCTGAAACAGTCCTGTAGAGAATTGAATGTAAAGAATTGGATCATAGCATGCTGCAATGGAGTCAATACATCCTACAAACCTTTAGCAATTGATTAAGAAACTGTGACGATAGGGTAGATCTTTAACTAACCACACAGTTTCATGTCTAAGATTAACAACAACGTTGTCAAATAAAATATTTCAATATTGAGCATTATTATATTTTAAACACTAGAGGGAGACCTATCATTGTTGCATGTACAAAGCAGCAGCTGTACATTCAGTCAAAAATAAAACCGCCAATACAAGTCAAAGTGTTTATAATAAGGTTTCGACAAAGGATAACAAACTTTTTAAAGGTTGCTGGTCCAACTATTTTAGCAATAAATATAGAGATTTAACGCATATTACCACCTTTAAATACAGAAAAAAAAACCTGACAACTTAAAATAACTGACACAATAACATCAAGTGGAAGTTTAAAAGTTGAGTCTGTTCTTTTCTACATTGCACTGGCTCCCATGGATGTCCATTGTGTCAGATGTGTAACAGAGAGTGTTTCCACCAATCAATATGCACATCCTGTTGAATCTCGTTATTGCAGACACCCTGTCCGTCAACGGGACAACGTGTCAGCAAACCAACCCAGCTGTTGGAGTCTCTGGCAGTGGACACACAGGTTTTGATAGATGAGTGGAGGAGACTCTTCATGCTGTCACCAGGCTGGAGATAAATAGTCAGCCACACTGCAACAGTAGTTGGGTTGTCGCTAAGTTACCTCCGAGGAATCTGGCACCTACAGGTTAACGAGAGTAAAATATCGCACCTTTATTAACATGATTTCGACAACTAGCTGGTACTTTTTCCTCAGTAAAAAAGTGCATCATTACCTGTCACAGTCTTTTGTTTTTTGTTTCTCCTTTCTCTTCTTTCCTCTTCCTCGTTGCCTTTTCCTACACAATTAAAAAAATAATAATTATCCAAGTTTTCCAGATTCTTTGAAAATTTTTACTACTCATTGTAAAAATTTAGAAGAATAAAATTCTTACCTTCCAACCTTCCTCAAAGGTTTCCGCACTCTGAGGAGAAAGTTTCAATAGATTACTGGAGAACAAATCAAAGTGTGATTTTAGTTAAATACATATGTAGTGAATGTAATTACCAAACTGGTCTCTTAAAAGTTTATATTTGGAGGGTTATTACATATATTTCACAGGGAACCTCAGTCTGGACCATTGGTTTACTTTCTCTCACTATCAGACTGAATGTGATATTGATTTGAGTTCTCAGTCATTCTTCTGATTTATTCATTTTCCAAGAGTTGTACAATAATGTTTACAATTTAAATTACTATTACAATCAAGGTTTGGGTACACATGTACAATTTTATTGCAAGTGTTCTCTTATCCCTATCCCTATTTTGCCACAAATTTTTGGTGAAATGTCTCTTAGCAAGTTGCATCATTTGAACATTCTTTTTGTAGCTTTTTGTATCATGCTGACAATAAAATGTAACCAATCTTCTTGGCTGAAGTTGACATCAATTGAGTTGATGTCAGAAGCCATATCAGTAGGTTCCTTTAATTTCCTCCTGCTTTGTCAGCTCCCAAACCAATTTTGATATTTGTCTTTTGGATCAATGTCCTGTTGGAACTCCCAGTTTCAGTCACATTCAACTCAAGAGTTTCTTAGGATATTCAAGAACAATCGAGGAGCAATCAAAACTCAAGGTTATCATAAACATAAACTGCTGTAACGTGAGTGTCACTGTACAAAGTCGAGCAAATTTAACATTGCCATTGCTGAGAAGATACTGAATGCAAAATAAGCTCCTTACCCAAAACATTACAAATGATCGAAAGAAATAAATAAGCAAAACAATTTCAAAATTCTTTTATTTCACCTACAATCATCAACTAGAGTGAGGAGACATAAACTTAAACAAGTGCTTCAACAGGACAATAAATGTTAAACTGGGTTTTAATTGTATATGCAAGGTAACATTGAGTTTCTGGAATGGCCTGGAAACTCAACATTAGTAAAAATGGTAGAACTACATCTAAAAACTCCAAACTTACCAGAAAATCATTCAAGTTTCACACTCTAATTACTGAGGAATTGAGTGTTAAAAGCTTGGATAGGTAGAAACAGTTAGCCTGATCAACGACCACAGTAGTTTCGTAAGTTAAAATTAGAACATGGCTACATTGTGTACATTTTGTGACAATGTAAAACTGGACTTTGAGAGTTTTTTTTTTTTTTTTTTAGCAATGATACATAATAATCACTTAGGCTTTTTTAAGTACTTCACTTTAGATAGTCACATTGAATTTTTCAGTGTTATTATGCCTTCTTTCCAATTAGATCCCAATATTGTTAATTCAAATGTGAAAGATAACAAGTCTTGATTCTTTGGTTGAGGCCTCTGTGGAAACATCATTGATAACGGTGGTTTTAACAAAATACAAGTAAATAGTAGGAGAAAGTTTGTATTTTTGTACATTTGTGTTTTACGTCATAAATTATGGAAAAAAAATGTTTTGTTCTCTTACCTACATTCACATGTCTTATGCTCCACAAAGGTCATCTCAACATATTCTTCACCTGGTTCAGATGGCCGGATTTTCAACAGCTGTTTAGCACAGTCAGAAGTCAGGGTTATAATAGGATAATACCTTTCAAAAGTCCTTAAACTTTGAAAGATTTTATTATGCCACAACAATAAACATCAATGAAAAGAAAATAAATAATACATGGTTTTCAACATAATTCAACACTGAATTCAGTTGGATTTTGGTGTGGGCTTTGAATAGGGCCTTCCAGCATATAACTATGCTGCAATGTAAATGAATACATTTTAGCTCTGGCTGTTTGGTTGCAGTTGTTGCCGTGGTGGAAGGTGACCATCAACCCCATTATCATGTATTTAACAGTTTTTATCTTTGCCATCTTCTTATTTCTATTCATTTTCCCATCAGCTCTGACCACAGCATGATGGAGCCACCTCTATGTTTTAAGATGTAGAAGATTTTTGAATATCGACCGAAAGGTTGAGATTTGGTTTCATTTTGCAAGAGTTCCTTCATCGACATGCTTCTGTCTCCCAGCATGACATATCATTTATTTTAAGCAGATTAAGTCTGGCGAACGGTTTAATCCTGGGTTTTCTCTAACAATGGCACTCATCTGTACATTCTTTGAGAAAGGCAAAATCTGCAAGGTGAACAACTAGCCGTTGTTCTATTTGAAGGTTCTGATTAATGCACTGGCCTGTGAGTTTATGTGGAAAGACATGCATAAATAAGACTGCGGTCTGGGATTGTTCTTTACATTTTCTGTTTATAAATTAATCTATGTGAGCTCTGTGATCCTTGGGCTATTATTTAAATTTCTCTACATCTATGTACTTAGTGTGTGTTTTTATGTCTTCCTAATGCTAGATATTCACTAATGTTCAAACCTCTGAGGCCTTTATACTATGATTAAATTACACTAATTTGGACTCTATTTACTAATTATGTGATTTCTGGTTTAACAGGATTTGATTATGACATCATATTTTTATTGGCAAAAAAAGAAAAGAAAACCATGCATCATTTCATTACCCTGCAAAAGCAATGCTCAACTTTGTGTTGATCTGTAACCTAAATCCCCTAAAATATATTGAACATATGAAGTTGTGTACAATTCTGTAAAATAATCCAGGAGTATAGACATTTTTGCTGTTTTCTTACCTGCATTGTGACATTTGAAGTTTCAGTGGGATGACACTCTAAGTTCTCATCTCCACAGCAGCCGGCACATCTCACCAGTGGCACACAGGAGGGGCTGTAGATGTGCTCCACCTCCGTCGGGTATTCCTGGACAACCTCTACCAGTTTCTCCATGGTCCGACAGAAGCTGCGACCCCACACCTCTTGAAACATCAGCACTGTTAGCAAGAACAGGAGGATGAGCCACTTTGGAATAACTTTTGGTTCTCATAAAGATGCTGCGTCTGACCATTCAGAGCAAATTCCCAAGCTCTCTAATGAGAGAGAAAATCACTACATGGATTGTAAATAAAC